AATTTTCACAGTTTCAAAGAGTGCTGTTTTGAAAAATTTCTCCTCTGAAACCTATCAAAAATATACTGTGTACGTCAGTGGTATACTGTTGAAAGTACATTGGTGTGTGATGAAGGTATAATTTTTAAAGTGTACTGCTGTGTGAAATTTACATTTTTTTCATCCCCAGGCTCACCTGGTAACTCCGTTCAATGCTAAAGAATCTTGAATAATTTATGTAAACACACTTAAATTCTTCATAATCATGACTACACTACTACTTCCCTCAGGGCCTGTACATACTTCAATAAATATTTCTTGCATTTTATTTTTTATTATACCTTTGTTCTGTTCAAGGATAATAAATCTTTCATCCTTAGACTAACTTGTTACCAAATATAGTATGGTTTAGTCCATGTCTACAGCTAGACCTAAGTGCCGAGAGCCATCTGTGAACTGTGCATGAACTAAAGTGATGTGGAAGCCATTAGGCAGGAAAGCCTGGAATCAGGAACTCCCAGAGGCAACTCTGCTGGTTTGAGAATGTTTGGTTCATGTGGCTTCCTATCCAGCTCCATCACAAGTTCAGCACAGCCTTGGAGATGGGGTGACCCACTGGAACCACACAGCCTCTTGAAAATGGGTGTAGCTTGACAAAGTGCCAATCAACCTGTTTATTGCAAGACCCCTGACACACTGAGAAGCAAGACTCCTCCTGCTGAAATCTTACCCCTGCCTCTGATGTACTCCCCCTTTAATAAAGAATAGGGACCATTTTTTGTTCAGTTTCAGCTCCTATCAGGACTGGAAGATCTATCAGGTGCCCCAATCTACCTAATTTCTGGCTCTGGCTCTATTTCTTACTAATTATTTCAGACTTTCTAGTTCTCAGGAGCAGGAAGCTACCCTGGCAGGGTGCTAGTTGCCCCATAATACCTAAGTCAGACATATTTTAAAAGTGTATTTATTTCTACTCTGTCTTATTCACAAAGGAAATAAAATAGATATTTGATATTCATAGTATCTCACTTAAAAATACAATCCAGATACCACCTCATTATGTTTTTCTATTTTTTGTGAAAAATTTCTTCATCTGCATAAGTTCCATCAACTTTAAAATTTTATCAATAAAATGAGCCAAACTGGAGCTGAGGGTGCAGCAGTGGGCATGCTTAGACCTTGGATTCAATCCCCAGCACGATGAAAATATAAAATAAATAAAACTGCCAGGTGCAGTGGTACATGCCTGTAATCCCAGCAGTTCCGGAGACTGAGGCAGGAGGATCTCAGTTTCAAAGCTAGTCCCAGCAAAAGCGAGGTACTAAGCAACTCAGTGAGACTCTGTCTCTAAATAAAATACAAAATAGGGCTGGGGATGTGGCTCAGTGGTCAAGTCCTCCTGAGTTCATTCCCCAATACCGAATAAATGAATGAATGAATAAATAAATAAATAAATAAATACTAATGAGCTTAGTAATCAACTTACATTTACATAAGGATTTTATTTTATTTTTAGTTTATTTTTTTGGTACTAGGGATCAAAACCAGGTCTTCATGCATGCTAAGCATACACTTTTCCACTGAACTCCCCTTGCCCCAGAAAGATATTTCTGAACAGACATTTTAAGAGTTTCACGTACTATTCAAACAAAGATAATTTTTGTTTGTAAACGGAAACCAAAATGTCTAGTGGTATGCTGGTAAACCAGTACTGGAGGGCAGGGAGGAAGAAGCTCTGCTTTGTAGCATTTGCTAATCTGAGGTATAAACACACCCACCACTGACAACTGAGAGGTGTTTTTATTGAAGTTGTTTTGATCCAAGGAATGTTTACACTGGACTCTCTAAACTGCTCCGCCACACACACATTTACACAGTTCTATACAAATGTACATACTTTGATTCTTCCTCTTGGTAGTTAAAGGAACCTGAGAGGAACAATTTGTCTCTTAGTGCATGAGATAGACAGGATAGACTCTTCACAAGCCTGACACGACTGGGAGGAGAGGACTCTACCTCAAATAACACTGATGATCTTCCTCAGGAGAAACTGAGTTTGAAATATCAGTTTTGGGCAAAATTGGAGACACCAACAACTTTAATGTTTTCCCTAGAAGAATGGTGGCCATGGTATACTCTGCTGAGTAAAAAATATTATACATGAAAGGCTCTTCAGAAACATTAACTATGGCAGTCATCGTTGTCCCATTAAGTCAAGGTTCCCAGGTGGAATGGCACAGACCAGTAGTCCAAGATGGAGACAGAACGCAGTCCTTTAACTTTGTTGGTATCTCTATCTCTGAGGTCGCAGGATTATAATGCTTTCCTTAGCATGAATTCAATCTGGGAAAATTTTAATCTCTGTGCAATATCCAGTGAGCTTTCACCATTCTGAGGAGAAAAAGAAACTTCAGTTATTTATTTCCAATAGAATAAAATGTCAATGCAAATGTAAACAGATTAGACTGAGCCTCAGGCTTGGCAAGGCCTTTAAAGGTCGTTCAATTTTAAAAGGAGTGGCTTAGCTTCTTTCTTCCTTAGAATGGTTAATTTTAGCATTATTCACATGAAAGTAGGTTGATTTCCTTCAACACAAGACCTGGATTAGAAGATTATGCTGCTAGGGGGAACTTCAGACTCAGGTTTGCAGATCCTTACCTTGTCCTTTATCATGGGGTTTGCACCGGCTTCCAGGAGCAGTGGGATGAGAGTCTGGTTTTTCATTTTGCAGGCATAATGTAATGCAGTGCAGCCATACTGAAACACAAAGGGCCAACATCACAGCCCATCAGCCAGGCTTTCCACAAACTTCAGCACCTGTTTCTTTAGCAACTATTCACATTTGGTAATGTGCGACTAAGCAGAACAGCTTGCAAACCATCTTGTACTGAAAAGTTTTTCTCCTCTCCCTCCAGATGTACATGAGTATCCTATATGCTATCAATATCTTCCCTCCTCATTTTCCATTACAAATTATAGAATGTAACTATGATAACATATAAGATATATTTATAATAATATATGATGCTTAATTATACCAACATTTCTTTGTGGAATTTCATATACCTGGGCAAGCACTACCCTGATAATTTTACCATCTTTTCCCTTAGAGAGTTACCCCATGGACCTTTTTGTAAATACTATCCTTTATGGTTTTCAATCAAAATCCTCAGTCAGAAGAAGGTAGCTGCTCATATCACTACAGAATATGTATAAGATCCTAGGAGTCTGATGTACAAGTCCACACTTAGTTTGCTATAGTTCATATTTTGTACTATAAATTAGCCGTCATACTCTGTTGGTACCAATTTAAAACACTAACCACAAGTTAAAAATATTTTATAATGGGGGAATTTGTGTTCAAAATTTGTCTTTCAAAAAGTAGCCAAGAAACCATAGTTTTGGTAAGGGAAAACAATATCCTCAACTGTTAAAACCAATAGAATTAATTCTGGACCTTATTCCCTGGAAATTCTTCTAAGATTATAGGAAATTATGTTACAATCATTTATTTTTATCAAGTGATGGCATGATGAATGGAAGAAGGACTCTGGAATTTTCCATGTGAAATAAAGTGAGTCTAATTAGCTAAAAATATAAAATACTGCCTTAGGACTAGGAATATGCTTCAGCAATAGAGTGCTTGCTACCATGCAGAAAGCCCTGGATTCAATCCCCAGCACCACAAAAACAAACAAACAAAATAAAACCTAGATTTTTTTGAGTTAGAACTTGGATCACATGTTTGGTGGAAAAAGATGGTGCCTATGTGCATGCACATGACACATATGTGCTTAGGAATATAATATCTCTGTTTAGAGATAGATAAAGACATAAATAACTAGAAAAATATCTGGAGAGAAATTTTGACCACAGGCACAAATTTTAAATCTTTTGCATTCAAATGAAAAGATCAACAAAAACCTTCAAAAACCTCCAACATAACCTTTAATAATCTCCTATTTTAATAAATTTCAAAGCTGTTTAGGAGAATAGGATGCATAATACTAGTCTATACAAATTAATTTTTTAAATTCTATTTGAAATAAAACACATAGATTACATCAACTTATTGTCCTGTGCTCTCTCATGCAAGCTTGCACTCTCTTTCCCACACAAAAATTATTTCCATTTAAGCCTTCTTCAAATTTAACAAAAACTAAAATAATGCAAAGAATTAATAGAAACAGGGATAAAGACATATTTTTTCTCATAGAACAATGGTAATACACAGAGACTGTCAAAATGAACACTAGTTTTCTGTAATCAAATTTCAACTTGCTTTTCTTAATATAACACTAAAAACCTAAAATTTTATCCAATTAATTTAAGCAAATAAAACACCATACAAAAAATGTTTGATCCACTATTAGCATTTTAAGGGAGGAAGGTGAGTACAGAGGTGCAAGGATAAAAAGTCAAAACAAAACCTTACACATCCTTATGGGAAGAAGTCAGCGGATGCTGCTAGAGACAAATGTTATTGCAGCTCATAACATCACTTGGATTTTCTTTGATCTTTCCCTTCTTGAACTTTAATTTATAAAAGAGGCCTCTCTTAAAGGCTCTTGGCTGAAGAAGCAGCTGTTAACAAGCAGTGAGCACTTACTAGGTAATAAATTTATAATTGGCCACCCACTAAGTAAAAAGTGGCAGGCCTATTCACACAGTGGCATTCTGACTCCCGCTTAAGCACTGAGGATGCTGGTGTTATCAAAGTCTTCCTTATCTTTATTTCTTACCAATGTCATAACCAGTTCTTTTAAAGATGTTCTGCAATCAATAAAGATTCTGAACTCATGAGTTTAGTGGAAGAATATAAATAACCTCAAAGTTGCATGACTGGCAGTGAGTAAAAAGAAAACTAAATGAACATTATTTTGGAATGGCTAAAAATATAAACTTACACAGTCTTTAGCATCAACTTGGACGCCAGCATTAAGGAGCATTCGCACAAGAGCCTCATTCTGCTTTGTCTTCGATACCTGTTGTAACAGTAAGTGCAAGAGAAGTGGTTTGACAAACATTTTCTTCATCTTGTGTCTGAGACTATTGTAATCAATTGGCTTCATCTGAATCTCAACACTCCTAAACATCTCTCGTCTTAAAATCCTTGAAGACATATCAGGTTGTGCTCTTGGAAGGGCAATCTCAGCACCCAGGCACTTGTTTTGAAAAGCACATTCTCAACCCTCACCCAGACCTACTATCTCCTGCTGAGGATGGGATCAGTTTTCTGTATTTTCCTTCCTGATTCATAGCTCTTCGTAACTTCTCATCGTTCTGAAGACAAATCTAAGCTATTCAACATGATCCCTCTAGGGCTTGCTGCTCTAATCCTCTCTCACAGGAGATACCTCCTGGATCACCCTGTGTTAGCTACACTAGCTTGTTGTTAAGTCTTCCATTCCCACCAGGCTCCCTCCGGCATTATTGCACAGATATTCCTTCTACCTGGAAGCTTCCTACCTCCCGTTTTTGCTTTGCAAATTCATCCTTCATATCTCAGCCCATGTTCCTCTTCCTCCAGGAACTTAGAGCCTCTATTTTCCTTGCTGCTTCCCAGTGTCAGACTTCCTGGACTTAACTGATCAGATGAAGAAATCCTTTTCTTCTAGGCCCTCGACACCCATCACTTCTCTGTATCACCTGTTTCATGGCGATTTCTCTTGTGTTTGTCATTTGATTAATGACTCCCCACCATCCTCTAATGCTCACGAGGTCAACAGCTATGTCTGTTTAGTTCATCATGGGATCACTAATCCTTGTACAGTGTCTGGTTCGTAACAGATCCATGAAAATACAGGTTGAATGATAGAACCAATGAGTGAAACCAACAAAGTTCCTCAGAAACTCACTTTTCCTTTTTGGTCCCTCAAGGTTCTGACCACCTGACAGAGCCTTCCCACTACAGAGGTTCACCTGAGAAAGCAGAGCTCTCTCTACACATAAGGCATCAGCCCTTTGTCATCTGGAGCTATCCAGTTGTCTTCTCTCCTCCTTCTTCCTTCCTGTGTCACCTGCTCAACTGCCTTTTTTTCTCCTACCTTTCTTTGAAGTGACTCAATCCTTTCTGATCCTTTCCCCTATACTTGCCTCTCACATCACTTATTCCTTAAGCATCACAAATTTACAATGTCAGGCTCCATTAATAAATAGTGTATGTGTGCAATTGAAGCCAGGCTGTTTGTTGCAATCTATATTTTTTTCTTAGGCCTCTCCAGCTTCTAAACATTGGACCATCTTAAAAATCAGAGCTATGTGTCAACAAATTCCAAATGGGCCTTGCCCGTAGTTGTGATGTTTTTCTTCAGAACCTCTGAAAAAGTCAACAAATTACTCCTGACCCCAAATGACAAATATTCCAATGATGTGTGCTGAATACACAGTGAATTCTCAAAACATTTTTAAGGATATAAGCAGATAATTTATTAGTGAATTAAAATTTTCCCTCTCCCATAAATTAAAAGATCAAAACCAACATTTTTGTATTTAACTACAGTTCCTCAAATTCTGCAACATTCAATACCTAAAGAGATAATAACACTTTCAACTGACTGAATTTATAGTGGAACTTTTGTTAAAAGGGAAAACTGAGGTTTGACATCAATTAGCTACAGAAAGGGGGGAAAGGTGGTTATTTAATTGGAATAAATGATGTATCTTTTGAGTCATCTCTCAAAGGGGGAACTGGTTACCAGAGAAGCAGGGGTGGGGGTTTGGGGGTGGAGAATCAGTGCACAGCTGTCACCATATTTGAAGGTAAAACAAAAACCCTCAAACTCCATCTTCTTCTCATAATATGAATACATTCCTACACCAACTATATATTCCCACTTAAACATGATTCAATACATCAAGGTGAAAGATGGGCTTCAAATTCCCCATAAATATCTTCTGTGTTTGTCGGTTACCTGGTGCAAATCCCTTGGGATCTGTTTTCTATCTCATCACCAGGATGGGTCCTTAAATGTCAGTAATTAATAAAGAGATGTGCAAAAATATAAATTCCACTGAGAGAGAAAGAGAGTAGTAGGAATAGGATTTTTTTTTCCCTAAATTTTCAGAATTTTGTAGTTCCTTCAGATAAAACTAAGTCAAGATTAAATTATTTTTATAGATAAATCTTTCACAGACTATTTTACCACTGGTCTACTGTTTTTGCTACCTTCTCTCACTTTACATAGTCAGCATTGCATGAATATTGGAAATGGTTTTCGTAGAATACGCTTGGTATTCTACAAAACTCACAGTGGTTCAACTTAGGATTTTTCAACTCTATGATGGTGGGAAAATGATGGGCATTCAGAGGAAACCACACTTTGAATTCTGAATTTTGATCTTTTCCTGGGCTGGTGATATGCACATGATACCCTCTAATGATGCTGAGCAGCAACAGCAAGGTACAGCCGCCACTTAGCCACACGGTCACAGGGGTCCAAAGATCCGTACTCTACAGAGTAAGGTATGGTTAAAATGTGATATTTGGTAGGTGAGGTATATTAAATGTATTTTCTGCTTATAATGTTTTTATCTTTGAGAGGTTTATTGGGATGTAACATCATCAAACGTCAAGGAGCACATGTACAAACCAATAGCTTATTTTGTTATTATTTCTTTATAATATCTTACTGGCCTAGCAAAACTTGCACATCGTGCATAGTTCTCCTATTCATTTTTCCTATACCCTAATAAGTGTACTCACCATGAGAAAATACCCAATAAGCAGGACAGGCATCAAGAGGACAATGAGCAGATAATCAAAGAAGGTAAATCTTTTCTTCACAGCATAATGCAAGCAGGTTCTCTCTTTCTACAATTAAGAAAAGAACTCTTCATTTCACTTTTCATATTTGCATATTACTACATCAAAAAAGTTCATGCTTTTTATTTTTATGGTACTCAGGGCATTTCTTTCTGTAGGGCTTGTCTGATTAATAAACTTGGATTTCCATTGACCAGAATATTGAACAGTCCAATCTAAAGGAAAGACAAAGATCAACAACAAACAACAGAGGTGAAGATGCGTTTTAGAAATCATTGAAGTCTAGATTTTCACATTAATTTTAGTTTTTTAGGGACAAATATATTGAGATACAAATATAGCACTGAACTTAGTATGTAATGCAATAGTTATCCTTAATCAACTATGGTGGACAATTGTTCATTTAATGATATGTTTACAGGAAAATCTTAACCTCATTTAAATTTTTCCATGTTCCCTCATGAACACAGACAGTGGTACAAGAATGCACATAACTTAATTATTTGAATATATCAAGATTCATCAGGTGGTGGACTTAAGCTTTGAGGGGTGGTATATAGAATCTGAACTCTCAGGGGCTCATAATCAAAGGTGGGCAGAAAGATGTGCAAGTAAGTATAATGCGAAAAAGCTATGGTATGATTGGAACACTATTCAAATCAATAAAAGGAAAGGGAATGTAAGAGAGAAAAGAGAAGTGAGTTTCTACTTGGAGGTAGCTCTATTCTTAAATAAAAACTCTTGTTTTCCTAATTATTAAGGTGTACATGCTACCTGTAAACATTCTGGAGAGTAGAGAAGGTTAGAATGATAGAATTCAGAATTATCCATTATCAAATAGTACAGAGTTAATTCTTGACATTATGCTATATTCTCTCAAGGTCATTGTCAATTTCATACACATGGAATTTTAAAACATAGAATCATATTGCATATTCAAAATCATATCTTGCTTCTTTCCAGTTTAGAGATGCACATTAAGAATATGTACATTTTCCATGCCCATTAATATTTTTAAGTACACATTTGCAAGGATTGCCTGGCTGCTTATGTTTTTATTAGCGTGTCATATGTAGACATATTAGTGGAGCTCATTTTGACAGATTCATAAATTCATAAGACATTATTTACTCCATTTCAATCCACAATACTTCCTCATTTCCTCTCTTCCTCCCTTCCTCTGATCTCCTGCCTCTACTCTATTGGTCTTCCTTCTATATATTTATTTTTTTTATTGGTGTGTTATAGTCATAGATAAAAGTGGAATTCATTGGGATATATTCATACATGCACACAGCACAATTAGTTCAACTTCATTCCCTAGTTCTTTCCTTTTCCCTCTTCTCCTCCATCCTCCTTGGCCTCCAACTTCTACTCTACTGATTTCCCTTCTATTTTCACATTTTTTGTCTTTTTTTCCCCCCATCTAACTTTCACATCAGAGAAAACATTCAGCCTTTAAGTCTGGTTTATTTCTGAGTCTGGCATATTTCACTTAACATGAGACTCTCCAGTGCCATCAAATGATACAATTTAATTCTTAGTTAGGACTCCATTATATAGATCACATTTTATTTATCCAGTCTTCTATTGATGGGCACCTAGCCTGATTCCATAACTTGGTACTGTGAATTGCTCTGCTATAAACATTGATATCACTATAGTATGCTGATTTGAGTTCTTTTGGATAACCACTGAGGAATGGGATAATTGGGTCCTGTAGCAGTAATATTCCTAATCTTTTGAGGAATCTCCATACTGCTTTCCAAAATGGTTGTACTAATTTACAGTCCCACCAACAATGGCTGAGTGTACCTTTCCCCTATATCCTCACCAGCAATTGTTATTTGTATTCTTGATGAATGCCATTCCAATAGGAGAGAGATGAAATAGCAATGCAGTTTTGGTTTTATTTCTTTAATTGCAAAGAATGCTGAACATGTTTTTATATATTTGTATATATTTTATATACATATTTTTATAAATATATTTTTATATATTTGTTGACCATTTGTATTTCCTCTAT